CACCACATAGAAACTCCAATGTTGAGTGCAAAAATTACCACCGAGAAGAGAAGCAGATGTACCTTTTGTAATTTAGCGAAACACGAGATAACAGAATAAACTGGTACTCATAACGTGCAACACACTAGGTGGTTGTGTTAAACATGTGGTTTATTTAAATATATACAAGACCACCAAAAACTGAAGCTCAATACATGTACAGTAAAAGGAAGAGTAAAGCTTAACAACAATTTAAAGTAATCTTAGACCTTATTGTATTATAATTACTACTCCCACGGGTTACTAGTAGAAAATTAGGCTTCACAGCAGCACAGATTCATTGCATCTTGTTCTCTGCAGTCTTTTCTTAGGTGGCTCCTCGACTGCTCATAAGCTTTCATCTTAACCTTACACGACCTCATCCATACCATCCTCGGACAAACAAAGCATCTTTCGCTTCCCATTCATGTTTTACTCGAGCGCTTGGAGCATGATGCCACGGTCTTCTCAGTGTATGTCCGATCCATATCTATGTCCTTCTACATATTTATTGGGCGATAGGCTTTTGGGCAGTTGCCTGTTGGAGTTCCTTGTTGCTTACCTTTCTGGTCAGCCATCTGATCCTCAGTATGGAACCAAGTCTGTCTGGTATGCTTTTGATAGTGCACCAATTCTCTAAACCATATAGAATCACTGACTGACTTGACAATGGCATTGGAAATTCGGATCTTGTTACTTATATAGAGTTCGACAGATTCCCACACTGATTTCAAAGTAATGAAGGTCTGTATCGCCTTTCCGACCTTGCCTTTGATATCTTCATCCGTGCTTCCCGCCTAGGTAATTGAAAGAAGTGGCTTCCTCCACACTTCCCCCATTGATGTTAGTTCGTTCTTGTTTTATCAATGTTCATTTGAAGTCCTGTCTTCACTGCCTCTTCTACTAACTTGTTGGTTTTTCGCTTGTAGATCTTCAAGCTTCTGTGAAATTAGACATAAATCATCGACGAATGTCAAGATATTCCAGTGTCTTTTTTTCCTCCAGTGTATATCTGTCCTGTCTCTCCTGACGTTCTGTCGCACAGCTCAGTCTAATATAGCTGGAAAAATCGTCGGTGGTAGTAAGTTGTCTTGTCTTACTCTAGTCTTTACTTCAGAGGCTTTGCCAAGCTCCCCGTTGTGAATCAGTTGGCATGTAGCATTGTCATATAACTGTTGAATGAGGCTGATACATGTTTGAGTTGCTGCAATCCATGGTGTCAGATCACTTTCCAAATTACCTAGAATGTTTTTACATAGGCATTTACAAGATGAAATCCCGAAAGATTGAACATTATCAACAAGGAATCTGAACTATTGAAGAATTGATAATTCTAGCAGAACCATAAACTTTGTTTAAGAAAACCTGTTTGTTTCATTCATTTTTAGATACGCTATACTGCAAGATGATTTATCTATATTTGATATTATAGACATGGTTTCCAATGTAAAACACACAAGAAGCTACAATTTACTTAAAACCTTAAAATTAACCATTTTATTTATTTATTTAATTATAGCTTCATTCCACACAGTATTTTGGTACAAGTACGGAATTCTCCGCGTGTGATATCGGTAGTTCAAATTTAGTCGGCCGAGACCATTGATATCAGGTGGGCGTCGGTTGGGGATCGAACCCCGGACCATATGCATGGTCGGCGAGCGTCATAACTGCTGTGCCACCGACGCCATGAATAATCACTAAGAATGAAACACAAGATGATGAGATCTAGTGAACTCCAACAGTTCTGCAGCAGCTGTTGATTCATGCAGCTTACTTCCATTTATCACTTAAAACAGAAAAAGATTTAGTAAAATAAGGTATTAATAAATTTATCACACAAGTTCAAATATTAATAAAGCAAAAACCACACCAGAAAGAAAAGATATCATTTGTATGAAATTGATAGTCAGTTAACAAGACAGTCTGCACAAAACATAGTTGGTGGAAATCCACTACAGAGTAGATTTCGAGGTGTTGTGCTTTGAAAGTACAGATATAATTAAGAGAATTGCAAAAGATTGTGAGTAAAAACCAGACATTAACAATGACCAGTTAGTATTAGGTAAGTGTTTTACAAATAAGCAAAAGCATGATAAGTGAAATACGAAAGGTGAATACTGTTCAGCAAGAGAACATAAAGTACTAGAGAAAAAATGACCAGGATACATATGTAAGATATTAAATTACTCATGTCATATTCTGATACTCAGTATTTAAATAACATAGGAGTAAGAACTGCTGTGTATTACTGAGCCATGGAGCCTTGATTTGTCAGAAGTAGACTTCAGTATTCTTGTAACGACAGAAGACAAGGGCCAGGCAACAGATCGTTTATTGAGAAAATCAAGAGATATTTATAGATTTTTATGTAGATTATTGTTAGCGGAGAGGCAACCTCTTCTGATTGGTTGTTTTCTCTATTGCTTGTGGCCGTTTCTTAGAAAGTTAAGTCATGTATGTGCGAATCCTATTTTTACACGTCAAGCCCGCTATGATTGCTTGGTGAGTTCTCCAAGGTTAAGCTTTGTTACTGTTTTTGTCTCATGACCCCGATTCGGGAAGTAAACATTGACGCAAACTGTTGTCTATTATTTTGACTTGCAGACAGCTCTCACCACATTCTGACTTCCATTTAGGGAACAATGAACACTGGGTAAACTAATTTATTTAAACGTGTCATACATAGGGTGCATCAGTGATTCAGTGGCAAAATGCTCGCTAACTAGTTTTGAGTTCGACTCCCGGTCGATGTACTCATAAAAATTGACTAGTTTACCAGTTCAGAGTAAGTCTGCAAAAGACTGAAGATTGGGTGTAGGGATAACAAATCCCTCCCCCCCCACCATAAGAAGCAGCACAATGGTTACTGAGACTTCAAAGCTTGAAGCCTTAAGTCCTATTTTCAGGTCGGAAGGCAATGGGCTAAAAAAAAACAGGTTTTCATATATTCTTAATGTTCCTAAGGTATCTCTTTTACAATCATCCATTTTATTTTTTATGTTGGCCCATGCTAGTGAGAATGTTGTCGTCTTCTAACCAACTTGAAACAATTCCTTTTCATTCCTTCAGTTCTAAGTAGAATACAGGACTTCAAACTTTGGAATTTCAGTAGCAGGGATGTTTTTTTCTTTTATGAAATATGATCGCTAGCCTCATGGCCAACACCTTTCCTTTTCAGGTTTACTACTTGGTTAGGCGAGGTTTAGGAGTGTGTCGGTCGGGAATCAAACCCGGACATCCTGAGTTCCATTACTTCGAATTTGAAGCAGTAGTATTACTATTTTGGATTTCCATAGTTTTCTCAGTCACACAAAAACAGTACAAATGGTAGAGAAGGAAGTGCATCATCTCAGCATCTTAGCATGTCAACTGACCAATCAGCTACATCTAGCATATGACTTTTAGCAATAATGCCCATAAGTCTCAAGACGTATATGGAATTGGATTTGAGATCATGACAACAATGTATCTATACATAACTTATACATCTATTAATTATAAATCATGTCTAATAAATGAATGTCGAATCAATGTAGAACGTTACTCAGACACGTGTGTCAGTTCACTTAATCATACAATGGAGCGACTACTTATAATTTGCTCTTTTGTAAAAGAAATATTCAATTAGAGTCAGTTAATCATAATAGTGTGTCGATGGCTCAGGGTCAAAATGGGCACGCCAACCAACCACACAAGGTTTAGGGTTCAATTCCCAGTTGAGCCACTATTTGAAATCTCGCTTAGCTGGTATTAGGCCCTTAGAAAGAGGGAAGGTTGAGCGTAAGGTTGGCAACCCCACTCCTCAAAAGAACAACACCATCGCTATTGAAACTTCAAAGCTTTAGACTTGAAGTCCCATGTTCCACTCGGAAACACAAAGGAAAATTAGCATTTTCAGTGTGTCCAATTACTGTTGTTATTGTTCTGATCAATTTCACTGAATGATATGTACGTGTGAAATAAGAGCTATCTTCGATCAGTTAAAAAATATACAAATTAAGATGATCTCAACCGAAAGCAAAGGTACATAGATAGAAAGTCTTGAAATTAACAAAAGGCTTGCTTATGTTAGCTTTAATAAAACTTTACACCGCTTATCGGTTTTTTCTCTCCACACTACACACAAAGACCTTACCAAACTAGATCGTCTTGATGTAGGCTAAGTGAACAAAAACAATAATAATAATAATTTGCCAGAAAAAGAAACAAACAAAGCACATGAACTAAAAGTAATACAATAAACAACTAAGGTGTGTACAGGCACATGTATATTTCTTATAGCTATGTGAATAAACCAAGTCACCTAATTGATCGTGGATATAAGCGCATATATATATATGTACATATATATATATATATGCTCAATACACAGTAAAAGCAAAACGTGAAAGAAATCCATTATCGACTATAAATTCTTAACACAATAAAGAGAAATGTATGCATACATGTTAAGAAGTTTACTAACACAAAATAATAAGTCGATAGATTATAGAAATATCAAGTGTATTAAGTTCACTGGAAAATGAGCTGTCTGCCACCAAGAATCGAAGCCAAGACCTTCAAGATACAAGGCGAGATCTTTGATCACTCAGACATTGGGACAGAATCCAATAACCAGCTTATGAATTCTAACTTCTGTCAATTTCTCACGATATTCAGTGCGACTGCCAGCCAACCTCATCATCTACCATTGGATTCTGTCTCAGTAGCTAAATGGTTAGTGACCTCGCCTTGTAACCCGAGCGAGAGCTCCGGGTTCATTCGCTTGTTGTGGGGCTGTGGGTGCGTGTTCTTGAAGAGTCCCGAACTAGATTGAGACAGTTATCCAGTACTCCCTAGTTTTTAATATGCTTCTCTAACCGAAATCAATCAAATACCTATATATGAAAGCACGCCACGTTTTTCTAGATAGCCTCGAAAAATATAATTTATGTAACAGTGTCAGTCATTACAACATATAAAAAACAGATTAAACTCACTTGTGATGTCTTTTTAATTTCTGATGGAACTGTGACAAAAAAAGGAAGAACAAAATAATAAATATACAGTAGTATGAATCCGATCAGAAAAAAACAAAACAAAAATTATATGTCATAGCATGCTGTAATTATGGATTAAAAGCATTAGACGAATGTTATGACTAGAACAAAAGAAATGAGGCAAAATTAAAGAGTAGCTGTTAGATAATGTAAGATTGATGTATATAAACCAATGGATAATACATATATATTATGCCTCTTGTTTCAGTTAAACATGCACTCATAGAAAACAGAACATACTTCTACCAGCTGAGGCAGGTACACTAGCCTTATCCTTCACAGATGAAGTAGAACTAGCTAGAGGAGAATGTTTGAGACCGGGTAACTTTGAAGTTCGTCCTATGGTATGTATGATATTAAAAATTGAATGATGAAACAGTGAAAAACAGAAATTTTTCTGATTTATAAGAAAATAAAGTCATGGTTGCATACAGAATATAAACAAATTACCCGACGACAGATTTTTTCCATAAAAAAACTTTTTGACGGGTCACTGAAAACAAAATGCACTGGACAATAATTTCACTACATTTCTGTAGACATAGAATAGATCAATGTCTCAGAGAAATGACGTTGTCTTCAAATTAATTATTATGACTGAAATTAAAGGTAGTCAAAACTTACAAAAGCAGTGACTGAATATAATCGAGTGGTGATCCAAGCTAGGACAAATACCTCAGTAGCAGAACTTAAACCAGTGACCTCGATAACACGCAATGACTGAAATTTAAATGACATCAGTCACTAAATTTCAATCAGGTAGAGCCTAATTACCCGGAACAGATTTTCTATGTGCCAAACTAAGAGCCACACTCATCATCTGAGAACTGATGATACTATCCAATTGCCCAGGTTGAAGTAGATGGAGTGATATTCGAACCTCTGACCCATCAGTTGTAAACAGAGTGCTTAGCCTAATGAACTTCATCTCCAGCAGAGCAATAGCAATGTGTCTGCTGTAAGGGTCAAGTGTTTTGGTTCAACCTAAAAAGTATAGCGTGTGCATCAGTGAAAGACCCAAACGTAAGATAAAAAACTGATGGGCTCATCTATGTTTCTAATAACATTTCAGATGATGTTGGTTAGATTCAGCTGTCTTAAAAATGACCTAGTTTCCAAAACTACTGAATGAAATGTCCCTGAGATTTGTCACGTTCCTTTTTTGTACTGCAGCTTTACAACAAACTGTCAGTAGTGTCATAATTCATAACATTATTTCAAAGTTACTTTAGTTCAAACACAATAATACTCAGTGGTGCATCGGTGGCACAGCGGTTAGGACTCTCGTCGACCATGCACATGCTCCGAGGTTTGATCCCCTGCCGGCGCACACCTGATATCATTTGGTTGGCCTGCGAAATTCGGGCTACCGATATCACATGCTGAAAATTCCATACTTCTACCAAAAATACGGTGTGAAATCAAGCTATAATAAAAAAATCTAATATGAGGAAACATTGATGATAAGTATCAAGAAACACGAAGTATTGGTCATTTAACTTTCTACCGGTTGTTTTATATTATTAAAAACGGTTTGAAGAGCACAGTGACGTATAATTGTCAAACCTACTGAAAAAAGCTGATTAATCAGATTTCATCAACACATGTAGCGAAACAAAGTGAAATCAACTGGAATCCAATGAATAATAAATTCATAGAGAAGTGAGTTAAATTCCAGTCACTGGATAACGAATTGAAACACCGCTACAGTAATCAAGGCATGAGCATCTCAGCTATAACATTAATTTTCATACAACATACAGTTTTATGTTTAGTATCACCACTTATAAATGGTTACTGAGTTGAGTGTAGCAAAACTTCTTACTCCTTTATCAGGTAATACAAATTAAGTAACCATACAAATCACTTCAGTTGACAGATAATGTTATTGATGTAAATAACATTACGCGCTTCCTTGGGGTTAAAATGCTACATTACATATATATTAGTGGTAACATTCAAAACGATGTAGATATAAGAAGAACAGACAGAAAATAAAACATTCAATACCTTTAACTGTCTCAGGAGTTTTCAATCCTACAGACAACGAAGATGTCGAACCAGAAAGTTTCGCAACTTCGCTTGATTCTGAAGTGGCACCTGATTCGGAAACAACGCTAGATGTGGATAACTCCATTACGCTTGATCCTTCCGGACCATCTAGAAGAGTAAGCTGGATGACAAAGGAGGAATAAATAAATTAGATTTTTTAATTGCAAGATGCATTCACGATCGATATTTTCGGACACAACCTGAATAAGGTACAACAAAATATATATTCTTGTTGCGAATGAAATCTAGGGACCAGTACATTGGACTAAAATATTTACCTGCCGAACAAACAGCTGAAACAAAGGAAGCTGGATTCAATGAGTCAAGTTTAACAATAAATATCAGTTAATTTACTTTGTTACAAACTCCAGACTCATATTTGTCATGTTATTTGGTGTATAGTGACCATCAGTGGAATCCCGGAAGTACGTTCTGTCTCGTTTGGGACTCGTCATCTAGAGGTAACTGCAATCCCCAGTGTGTGTGATGGTATTTCTGCTGAGAATCAAACCCAGCCCCCGTCGTTTAAAAGCCAGTGTTAACCACTAAGCCACTTTGGCAGCAAGTAACATCACTGTTCCTCAAACATCATCGGATAGTCCGCATTAAGAGCCGGCATGTCTACAGAAGTCGAAAATTTCCGTTCAACTAATCAATGAGAAAAACACGAATTGACTTAAACAAGGTGGCGAAAACCCATTACGGTTCGCATTCTCAACCACCTGACACATATCATAGTATCACTCAAAGAAAAACACTGTAAATAGTCCTAAACATAATAAAACAGAAAAATGGCACAATACGGGACAAGAGAATTAAAATATGTCCTGGATATTGGACTAAACAGAATTTGAATGGAGTCATATTGCTATTATCCTATCATTATTAATGTAAGGATTTGCATGATTGTATGATGGTTCAAGAAACCAAATATATATATATATATGTATATATATATATGTATATATATATATTATATATATATATTATATATATAATATAAGAATAGAGAAGTGATGTTAATAATGTTATCAGAAGTGGTAAAATATTTTGAAATAAAAAGACAGAAACAAAGTATGTAACAACACATTTAAAATAAAAAGATGAGAATACGTTTGTGTCAGTATGATTTATTTCGATCCCCATCACCCACGATCCTTAGTCACGAGTTTTCGTAGTTAATTCGACCACAGAAAGCAAGTTGCACTTTTCCAAATTAAATGGATTAACAGTCATGAATTCAGTGATTGGCTGAGTACGGATATGGCCGCCCTTAACTCAACAGGCCATGGTAGGTGGTAAGTAGGCGTAACGAATGACATAACCAACTCAGACGATTGACAGTTATAAACAGGAGAGGTGGTGTGTAGAATAAATGAATGTAATCTTTGCAGATTCAATACTGATGATTAAACACTGGCGTAATGTAACGGCGCATGCTGATGTATTCTTGACACCTAGCAGATATACAGATATTTCACTAAAGAAGTAGATAACGAAAGTGCGTAGGCCTTTCCATTTCACCACGTGATGACAAAGTGACTTTCTAAAGTTGAGATAGGTGTCGGTTCAAACAATTGTGGGAGTGAGAAATTATATTTGAAAGAACGCAACTACCGAGAAAATATATTTTATGTGCCCACCTACGAATTACACGTTATATAAAGGTATATGGTGCTGGCTGGATTCAACATAGAACTTGGCACCGAAGTGCACCAGTTCGAGTTGCCACGTCCCGAATAGCACACAAGGGTAGACAAGAAAATGAGTGAAGAGAATCAACAGAGTTTTGATAAGTATAAGAGTGAAACAGAATGAGTAATGGTAGAAAGGAATATGAAAGATTACAGAGACTGAATACATCTGCGTAAGCCATTGACAACGATTTTGAGCCATGTCACCTATTGTCTCCAGCCATTGATTTTTGGAGTCCCGAGGGCCCCAACCCGGAAATCTGCATCTCCCTACTTGACTCAGTTTAACTGTCAAGGATTTCATGGATTGATGAGGCCATGTTTTTGTTTGGCCACCACTTAATCTTTTCCAACCTGCACCTCTATCAGCTAGTAATGCCCGTCGGGGGAGGCGATGGTTAGAAGGCATATGGTACTAATCAGTTGCTCCTGTTGCAGTAATTGAGATGGGATTAAAGCCCGGTGTCCACTGGCTTGAAGTTAAGTTCTAAAGCCAATGAGCACCAACTCCAGTTTCTTAGAAAACAAAGAATATATCGTACACATTCCTAACGTCTCACAAACAATTGGATAAACAATGTTTTAGCAGTATATTTTTCAGGGGACACACTGTCTGTTATTTAATATATTACGGTATGCTTGAATTAACAGTCGGAAGTAGAGAAGGAAATCAACTGTCTGGTGAATATTGAAGCAAAGGCTGAGCAAGCATAAAAGTTATCGTTTCCTAAGGAAATGTTACGAAACAATTAGTCCACAGAAATGACAGTAAGTCCCAACACCATGTTGATTAAGCCCTTTGGATGCTCTAGTGCCATAAGCTCTATAGGCTGGAGACTACAGTTGGATTCAGGTCCTGGCAAAGTTAAAGTATCATAGCAGAAGTCAAGGTCTGTCAAAAGTGGGCCTTCAAGAACCAGTCAGATTTAGGGAACGCTAAGAAATGTCAATCGAAATCAAATCATGCTTACTGTTTAGAATTTGGCGAGAGTAGATGCAGTATTCTACTTGTTCCCATGTACTTTTTCTGTGAATATGCACTGCTAGGTATCCTACTGTTATGGCTTTTAAAATCAAGGTTAGGATTACGGTCAGAGTTAGGTGTATGTTAAAGAACAGTGTCAGAAACATCAGTGGATCTCAAAGTATCCCGAGCAACAGTCACCTATCGCGCATGGTATGACTTCTCTTTAGGTTGTCCGGTTAGCGAATGGGAGATATTCTTGCAACACATAAGCGACAATTATTCAGTGTAATATCGTATTCATAATGTGCATTAATGCATTTTCCCAAAGATTGTGCGACCCGTTTTTATCTGAATTCTAATTGGTTGCCCAAAGTCACTGTAACTTTGGTTATGATAGTTTAACTTCGCCTGGTCTGGACAATACTACAATATAATTCCACGCAGAGTAAGGATACCAGTAGACTCAATATTCAGTTGGGAATCCAGTTTCACGGGGCTGGGAATCCCTTTTCATAATTCGATATAAATATGGAGTGCAAGGACTGAAAAAGCTAAATAGGGTAATGCGAAATTGATGAGAAAGATATTATAGAATGGAGGTGAGATCAACAAATACAAATCGAAAACCGTTAGGATGCACGAAATGAGTAAGGAATCATGTATGCACTATTAGTGCTACGAAGCTATAAGTGTCAAAACCACGATATATGGTTTTCGAACATCATGATTCACACTGAACTGCATATGAACCAGTTTATCCTAGGGACTGTAAAGACTGACCCCTACTCTCAGCAGAGAACCTCAGTAAATAACATTTCTAAAATTATAAATACAACCTAGCACTTGAAGAATAGACTGGTACTATACAATTATATGAGATATATTTAATTAACATTTGCAATGATCTTGATAATGTCTACCTGCAAATTACTAACACGAGCTCTGATGACTTATTAAAATAAGAGCAACGTGCGAATTCATCATAAATGAAGTGATAAACAAATAAATAATACCATCGAGTCCCTGGTAGTAAGGACTTCTTATGATATGCATCCAATATATCCAATATCCTGATTACGAGCTAGTATAAACCAGTGATTTCTTTGAGCTCGCTTCTTGATTGTAAGGTAGAGGTTCCAGATCTTCGGTGAACTTATGCGTAGTAAATCCCGCCACTCGACTGCTTTAGCTCTGGTAGACTCCAAGAGGAGTGGTGCGAGGATTGGTCAAGATTGTGGTTTGTATTGTGCAGTATGTTAGGACTCAGCTGCTGCCGTGAATGGAGTTTGACCTAACACCCGTTGGTCATTCGGTATAGTCATAAAAGTAGAATAATAATAATAATAGGTTGTAGTGTAGATAATATAGGTTGAGATAAGTGAAATAATAAAGAAAGAAAGAAAAGATAGAGTAGTCGGTACAGTGGGAGAAGACAGGACGGGTCGTGGGGATTTAGCTTGTATGCTTATCCATTGACAATGTGGTTTCAAATTTTAAGAGGGTAAGCCATTGAGACACAAACCATGCATTTCTGCATGATTGTCCAGCTTCCGCTTAAAAGTCTCCACAGATGGAGCTGTAGTTACGGCCGCCGGTAAAGCGTTCCAGAGACGGCAAACTCGAAGCGAGAAGAAATGTGAACGCACTCGAGTCCTTGGTCTCTGGTGTGCTATCCTTAGCGGGTTACCTCGTGGAAGCCTATAATCACTTAATGGCAGGATGCTCTTATTAGGATGGGCCTGGTCATTTAAGATCTTATAGACGGTGATGAGGTCTCCCCTGTGACTACGGTAACTAAGTGTGAAAAGACTTAATTTCTTCAGTCTCTCCTCATATGATTTGTTGCGGAGGCCGATCACCCATTTTGTCGCTCGTCTCTGGACACTTTCTAGCATGTTAGCATCCCTTTTGAGTAGCGGAGGAGCAATGATATTATGCACCTCAAGGAGTGGCCGCACGTATGTCGTATACAACGTTAGGAATAGTTCAGGAGTAAGAGCTCCCAGCTGCCTATGCATAAAGTGTAAAGTGGCGTAAGCTTTGGCGACGTCCCTCGTGTAATTCACACTGGTGTCTAGCTTTTCTGTTAAAATAAGGCCTAGATCGCGTTCTGATGGCACACAACTCAAGTTCTGGCCACCAAGGGTGTAATTTGCACTCTGTGACCTGCCGGAATGAAGTTGCACTGATACATAAAAGGATACAAACAACGCACAAAACCGTTTAAAATAAAACATACCTGAGATGGGCGCACAAATATCCCAAAATTTTCCTCGCATGTGAAGTAGCGTTTCCCCTGAACCGTGCCGTTGTTCTTCCCTTTGGGCTCGTCTAGTATTACACCCACCCATTTTCCTAAGTCCGTGATGAGAACAGAACTTTTTTTACCTGGTGAGAATTGTGTTGCTCCGACAAAAGCAACTGTCCCAAAAACATCTTTCCCTGTTACTTCAACACGACAACCAACCCTTAGTTTCGCTTCGGCCATGCTACCTTGGAATGCCCTTTAAATGTCAGATAACCCGCTTAACCAATAGCCAATACTCCATCTCCAACTAAAACAAAAGCAATTTGTTTTCTTAATGTTGACGGAAATGTCCCAAATATTCGGCGTGTTTTAGTGCCGTTACTTTCCTTAACTTTTTGCTGTAGCTGGGTTAGACTCCCCTGGCTTTTTGTGGTTGACTTTGGAGCTGACTTCTGTCATACAGGCTGGACTTATATGTCACGTTGGTTTGAAATTTTGCTTGGAAAAATTTTTTGTCAATAAGTTTTAATAAAATCGTGTTACATGTTACCTGGATTGATAGGAATTCTCATTTCCTGACTAGTTATGTCTCGCAGTATATGCGACAAGCACTTGATTCCCAAGATTCTTACTCCTCTTTTGAACAGTCAGCATCTACCGCAGATCGAATATCAGGGAGGAGACGCCCCACAGGACAGGTGGACTGTAGCAGGGTTGGTGACTACTGGAAAGTCTTAGTCTTGGAAATACGCACAACAGTGTGTCTGACCTAAACTGACTCACAGGTGACACAAAAATGACTAGATCCTGCTCAGCAGGTGACTACTGAGAAGAGATGCCCGGACAGTCAATTATTCTGCGTCAAGGATGAAAGCTCCGGCATAGATTTCTTGGTTATTACAGGAGTTGCACTCAACATCATACCGAGAACGAAAGCCGAGACTGGGTGGCCAGAGTCATTCATCACGCTGCAGGCCGTCAGTAAAACTCAGGTCACGACATACAGGCAGAAAACACTGATCCTCGACATCGGGTTCGAGCGACAGCTTCCGTGGGTGTTCACCTAGACATAGAAGTCCTCGGCATAGACTTTTGGAAAGATATGACTCAGTAGTAGATATTAGTAAGAGATGTTTCACAATGAAAGAAACGTCCTTGTATATCAATGGAAGAGTGAATGAGCAACATTCGTTGAATCTACTCTAATCTCTACCAGTATTAACTGTGATATGTTCCGGAAAGTAATGGCAGAGTTCCTGACTCTAACTGCGGCCAACTCTTAAATATTTTAGGGCTGGTCTGAAAACTTCTCGTGCTGTGAGGGCACAGTCCCCCGGTTTTCAGTAAACCAAGAAGAATAGGTCCCGAACAGACTAGGAACAGAGTAGTGTGAATTTAACCACATGCTTCAGCTGGGAATTAGATGGACTCATAAAATTCAACGGGTTTCACCGCTGCACAGTGTGCTTAGGAAAAACCAGTCTGACTGGTGCCTTTGTGGTGATTACACAGATCTAAAAAGCTGACCACTCCCGACGGATACTTGGTACCGCACATTCAAGACTTCACTAAATGCCTCCGAGACGCCACAACAACTAGTAAAATAAAAATAGTTCGCGCCTTTCACAATATTCCGTCGGCTGGGGAAAAGACATCTAAAACAGCCAATGCCAACCTATTTAGATAATCTGAGATTGTGCGGATGCCATTTGGTTTCCGGAAAAATGCACAAACCCTTAGAAAGTTTATAGAAAAGTTGTCGTAGGGATAACCGTGTACCATAGGATGCCTAAATGACCTACACATCGCTTGTCCTGTCTCATCAGCTTGTATCCACTCCATCTTCATCTCCTTCAGCATATATCTTGGACAATAGGTTCTTGATTTGTTCGCAACTAGACTCTATCGTAACTCAGCTTCTATATCCGAGCATCTGATCTTAAGTGCGAGCAAGTCAGCTGTCGGTGAAAGTCGGAAGTCTATTGGAAATGCCATTGGTGACGGGTGCTTCAAGTCGCAGGGATTCTGCCGGTTGGACTTATATATCATGTTCTGTTGAATTTTTGCTTGGAAATTTTTTTTGCCATTAATTTTTAATAATTCTCCAGGTTTAATTTGCTCTTCGAAAACTTTGCTAATATCAACTCTGATCGTATTTTCCTCACCAGATTGACTCGTAGATTGCTGCATGCTGTAAACATGAATGTGACAGACATTTTTTTCCAGATTTCTACATGTTAAGTAAGCAACTGAGCCAGCAACAATAACGGCAACCAACGAATGAACTGGAAACAACTGCTTCTGCCAACCAAACACGTTCATGTGCATAATTTCCAAAACTCCTACACAGCACTAATTCATTAATAGTGGAAAAACATCTAAAACCCTGAAACCATGCATGAATGCAACGTATGTAACAATTACAATGAAATGAATGCACTGACCTGGTGGTAAAAACTTTCGAAACAAACGAAATAACTGATTTTGACAGAAACGGAAGCAATAATGAAGTGAAACGCAACATTTGTGAACAATGTGAATGCTGATCAGTAGATATGGTGGTGGACACTAAGGTGAATCGCCCCATTCTGCAGGAACAGCAATATGCAATTTGACGGCTCGAGATTTCTATGAGGGCTTGAATCGTTATCTTGAATAAGATAATAATGATCGCCTGGACAGATCATGCTTCTACCTTTGAACATATACCATTCGGTCAGCCTATTGCTGAGATGCGACCACCTGGGCTCTGCACAGATTTATGGGGCATCTTACAAATTACCATGCTTTCTTTTGTCGTATCTTCGAACATCACTTAACAATGTCTCATCTCATTCATTTTCTAATAACGTCTCCACTTGCTCATTATATTCCATTAATCCTAACATTTTATAGCTCATTATGAATTTGATTCGACTTATTCTATTCCTATTCTCTATAGAGTACGGTTGTGCACCAAATACACAAAAAGGTATGAAATAAAAACAACCGGCTTGTAGATAATTGTATTAAACCAAAAGTGGACATCATGATAGTAAGACCTATATGGGTAGCATTTTACATTGCAAATGAACTTTGTCAGCCCAGGGATTATAGTCCTCACGGTATTTCCTTTATGAATGCATCTATTAATGATACATTGCACTTACCTATTTCATTGCACTTTAATGATTCACCTTAGCACCTTTACTTTTCTAAAACGTTATACTTACCTCAATATTGGTTGGTTATCGTATGACTACAACTACGGGTTGAAAACGAAACGAAGTCGATTTTCCCGCGCAACCTGGAGGACTACTGTTTAATTCAATAATGATACGACATGGGTCAGACAAAGAGTGTATTTATACATATATCAAATATTTAGCTGTTCAAACATTACTAACTTGTAGACAATCTACTATTTGACATTGAATCATACTTGATCGTGCCTGTAAAAATGGCATGCATTTTCATGTAAATTTATGTTTATATGAAAATATACATTATTATTATTAAAGATAAGCTGTGAATAACTGCTGGATAAACGAAAAAATCAATGTGTAAACAAACAGCTATGGAACTGCAATCCAACATGGACGACTAGCATGGACGAAAATGACCTTTGAGCGTATCACTCCACCAATGACCTTGTACGTGGCGGATAATTTTAGTCATTCTGCCTAGATTATTGAAAGTGTCTTCTCTTTCATTTCTCCTGTTTAAGATGATTTGTGCTCCTTGATGTCAGTTGGGTATCTACACTATATCTTTCTTGTCAATTCTTATTCGAAGGCCTGTCTTCTCCGCTCCTTCCGACAACCAGTTGGTTTTCCCTTGTAGATCTTCGAGTTTGTATGTTGTAAGACGTAAATCATCCTTGAAGTCCACATCTTTCAGTTCCTTTCCATCGGTCCAACTAATGCGCGTCTTCCTGCACGACACGCATGGCCTGGCACATGATCCAGTCCACCACGATGATAAAAATTGCCGGTGGTGTTATGCAGCTCATTCCTAATATTGTCTCCATTCCCATGGCTCCACTGAGCTTTCATCGGTGAATCACTTGACACGCAGCGTCATCATATAGCTGTCACGTGGAGTAGATAAAAATTTGGTGCACTTCAGTCCGTATTATCAAGACAGCTTCCAAATTACTTCACGGTCAACTCCATCTAAGACCCAAAAGTCGATGAAAGTGAGTGCTGTTCCTTCTGTATGGATGCTAGTTTGTCTACACATGATATTTTCTTTGAATTCAGTTCATTCCGTCCGAGTTTTGCATCTGGGGCATCTTTTATTATCTCCAGGACAATGTGACTTAATATTTTGCTTGGAGTGAACAGGAGCATTATTCCCTTCCCATTTTTGGCAGTTTAACAAGGCAGTTCTTATTTCATTCGCTGGTCATTACCTTTCCATCCATCCAACCCTGTTGAGATAGTGGCGTAATTACGTGTTCTAAGTCCCCTGGATCCATTTTAAGTCATTTTGGCGCACTATATTCTCAGCTTCCAGTAACTTCACAACACTGCAGGGTTCTACTTTTGTCGGAGGATTGGTGTTCATCGGAAGTTCTTTTGCTGCTGTGATATTTCTGGACGGATTACAAGTGATAGTCGGTTCAACAGTCTTTTGAAGTGTTGGTCTAATTGTTTCCTTTGTTTGTTCTCTTTGTTTATTAGGTTTTCTTCTGTATGTTTCATCGGTTTCACCTAAGCTGATCGCTTCCCCGGTAACGGCCTGGTTCTCTGATTTAGTTTTACAAGATGTCTCTTACCTATGGCTTGTCCTGCTTTAGTTTCTAGGGTGTTGAAAAATTGTCGTACACTCTTTTTTGCTCACTTGCCCAGTGTTTTAAAGATTGTATTCAGCTTCTTTCACTTTTGGTCTACCGTTTTACCGAATGTCTGATTTCTCTTAGGTTTCATGTATACAGAGAGAGGGTCATTCTTTAGCTCGCCTCTTCCTTCTACCTGAGGTGACTACAAGGGTTTTCTTTCAGTACCACTTTCAGAGAGTTCTAGTGTTTTCCCACGTGTTTCTTCGGTGGCGTTGCTTAGTGTTTCCGACTTTTCCTCGATGGCTATAATGTACAAGTCAACTATAGTTTCACTCTCCATTTCTGAGTGTTGAATTCTAATTATGGTTTGTCAGCAGCCGCTTTGAAGGTTTTTCACCTGATCTTCAGACCAAATTGTAGTTTCGGCGGATATGATGGTGGGGGCTTAAGAGAACCACCCTTATCTGTGGGAATGCTCTCTATTGCTAAGGCTCCTGAGTTTGAATAACTTCAACAA